AAGAAGAGAAAAAAAGTTTATCTACCTGTGATTTGTTAGGTGGTGTTCACCTTCAGGATGGCGTAGTGGGGATGTGAATCATGTGAGTTTAGCTCTGTTTTGGGACGTGGTTGAGTTGCGTTCTTAAGGACTGTCCCGCTGTTCTTGGAATGGTATTAAATTGGGGAAGAACAATGGGAAGGTGTTCCCCTGGTTTACGTTGTGGATGAATCCAGACAGGGCCAAAAAAAAAAAAAAAAAAGAAAAGAGGAAAATATCTAACGCAACATGGATCCAGTGTCCCTGGATGGTTCAGGCAGGATGATGGTGCCAGCAGGGAAGAATCCCAAAATGGGCACGTGGTTTTGAGATGAATACCTGACCTCCTGTGCTCCTTCACCTTCCAAAATACTAGCTGGATTCCTCTTCTTTTGTGTTTTAACCATATTGTCACTTTCAGATGAAGAGCGTGGCCTTGTGAGATGATTTTTGCATATTTGTAAGGTAAAAGTCTGTCTTAATGGAGTAAATAGAATTAAAATAAAACAAACCCTGGATTTTTCTTGACAGCACAACAGAAAACGTCGTGAGATTAAGTCAAACCCGCGTGACTAGCTAAACATAACTGAAAATAGCTCCATGTTAAAGAGCTTTTTTCCTTTTATCTGCTGGCCCGTAGCTCACTGTTAGGTAGTAACATCAGCTGGATACGTGAAAGCTTCTGGAGTTTGGAAGTGAACCTTAATGATTTGAGTTTATTGTTGTTCTAAGTGTCACACTGCTAAGGAGAACGCGTGCTATATATACTGTGCGCAAGGGTGTTTTTTACTTGGGTGATTGGAAAGCAAATGTGGGAAAGGAAATCTCTTGCCTTGTGTGGCAATGTCACTGTAACTTGTTTTATTTATTCATTTCCCACTGATAAATGATACAGATGCAGCCCGGGTGGGTGGGGAAGGGAAGACAGGTAGCCCTCGCACTGCAGAAGGTCAAGGTTAATGCTACCTCCAGCGTTATAATGACAGATGGGAGGCAGAAACTTTAATGTACTTGTGATTAGCATATGGTTTCCTTGGCTGAGCGTCCGAAGGATTTAGGAAGCCCGGGTATGCGCTTCGTAGCGTGCGCGTTTTAAAACAAATAAATAAAAAGTGCGTATGGTTATATTGTTGAGCCTTTCGGCTGTTTTTTCTTGAATACCTCCACTTTTGAGTCAAGTACTGTCAGCTGCTTTGTTCTGGAGATGCACTGGGGTAATCCATCACCGGGGACTCGCGGGTGGGTGATGTATTAGCACGACATATCGACCTGTGGCGCTTTGATGTGTAACTCATCAAGATAATGTTGGCAAGCATTGTACGAAAGCAGCATGTTTAAAAAGTATTAAGATGAATTGATTCCTTGCTTAAGAAGTGTGAAAGGAAGAATAATAGCAGATTAGCTCCGGGATGCCGCAGTTCTCCCGGAGCCGTGCAGCGTTGTGCGGTGCAGAGGGGCGGATGGAATTTCATCTTTCCTCCCACTTCTGACAGCAAAGTGTCTGGCCCTGGGTTTCCCATTCTCAGGCAATAAAAGTTGCATTAAGTATTATTTTGCGATAGCGTATTTTGTCGCTTTCAAAAGCAGTTTGGCCAGTCCCGAAACATTGTGCGATAGCTGAATTTTTTAAAGGTTTGGTTTTGTGGGTTTTTTTTTTTTGTTTGGGTTTTTTTTTTTTTTTAACTTTATTAGGTTAACTTGCTCTTCTAAGAGTAGCCCTGATTTTTATCTCATGGAGACATGCTGTGGCTGGTAGTATTTAAAAAAAACATTTTAAAAGTGATGTTATGACTGAAACACCATTAGTTTTTAGTTCCTCCTTTCATGATCTTAGAAGACATGAAGGGAAGAGACGTACTGGCACACCCAAGGCATCTCCTTGTCTTGCAGAATTGCTTCCTTCGTTGCTTGTTCTAGTGCTGTTTGTGGTTCATTACAGGGATTTTGCAGTCTGCCATGGCTTGGGCAATGTGATGGATTTATTTAGAATAACCTGTATGCCTGGATGGTATTTTAGCCCAAATGTCCTGAAAGGATAGGTTGAAAGCATCTGCCTAATGTGCCTGTTACTGAAATATCAGAATACTTTATAATATTTAGTACATCAAAATCTCTTTTAATACTTTGTAATGGCTTCTAGAAATGCTCAAGTCCTTTCTTTCTCCTCTCTTTTTGTTTTTCAAGGAAAAATCTGAAAAAGTTCTCGGTAGGGGCTGAGGGGCTGCAGAATTCTGTAATTAACGTAGCCAAAGTCAAGATTGTGTTGGGTCTTACTGTCATGAGTAAAGTACTTGCCCCACTTTCATCAAGAAATGTGTGATGGTCTGATAAACTCTGCCCACCAGTGCAGTCTTGACAATGATCTTGCACTGCAGACTGCTTAATAATTTTCATTATTTTTAATTAAAGTTGAAGAAGTGCAGACTCCTGCTCAAATTAAGGTTGGTTGTGTTGCCGGAATGTGGTAATTACTTTAATTGATCACAAGATAGTTTCCTTGATCACCAATTAGACCAAATTACCGATCAAGTTTCAAGACGTGAAGAAATGTCCAAACTGATTTTATGTAATAGTGTTTTCATATCTAATCAAACCTAAATATCTTTTCCTTCCAGAGCCAATTGTATTTTCTCAAAGAAAGGTTACGGCTCTACAAATATAAAGGTGATGCATAAACAATAGCGCTCCAATTCATTTAATTAGCAAAGGAAGTATTTAGGACCTTAATGGAAATTGCGCTGGTGAAATTGCTTGGTAGAACTGTAGCTCATTTTCTTAGGGGGAGATACTTTTTGCCTATAATTAAAATAAACTAAAATGCAAGAAGCAACTTGCTTTGGGTAATGTACAGTGAGGGAGAGCGTCTCGGAGCGGAGCGGGGCACGCGGGACGGCGGGCATGTCCAGCGGGCGGGCTTCGTCCTTGGCTGCAACACCAGATCGCCCTGGCTGGGACAGTCGTGGTCAGCTGGAGCAACGAGCAGCAGGACCTGTGCTGGGGAGGGTCCTCTGCGCCAGAATTAATCCCTCTTCGTGACTCGGACAGCCCCGAGTTGAGCGCTCTTCGGGAAGATGAACGGTGCTAAGGGCACCGACTGTTTTATCCAGCTGGAGACTTTCTGCTCTCGGGGGGGGGGGAAGAGGCAGTGGGTTGGCGTGGTGCTCCGCTGATCGGAGGGGATTTGGCGGTCCACCGACGGGGAGGATTTGCCGTCACAACGCGAGGGAAGGTCTGCAGAGCAGATTAATCGTGTAGGCTCGTTTGCTGGCGTAGTCCGCCCTGCCTGCCTTCCGCTGGAGCGGTGATTATTGTCACGCAATCCATGAGTCGTGCTTGTGTAGCGTAACCTGCGTATATACATAGGTGGGTGGGTTCCTGGGGTGGACAGACAGACACTGGTGGAGCATGCATGAACCTGGTAGGGTTTTCATAAATTTAATGTATTTTTCCCCTTGCCGCTTGTTTGCGCAAAGGCAGTCAGGTTGCAGATGCGATTGCTGTTTTGAACTTTTGGGGACATGTCTGTGTACAGATTGCTGTGTTGGAAATAGCATTCCTATTAAGCCCTTGGACACTCTAAAAACATTTACATCAAATATCTCCCAGAACTATTAACGCAGAAGCGTTCCAAATCATTGCTAACATCTAGTGCACAACTTGCAGCTTTCTGCTTCAAAGCGTGCTGCTGAAACATTTGCAAATTTTTAAAAGTAATTGTTCACTCGAAGTAAAACTAAACCAAGCGAGCGCTTCAAGGGAAGTTAGGTTTTCCCGAATTTTGGAATGCTCTTGGGTCAAAGAAAAAAGCTTTTTAATTGCTGACAGTTTGGTGATTTCCAAATGACAAACCTCATTGGAATGATTTTCTCTGATTATAACGTTTGCATTCATTTGACTGGCAAAGCGACTAACAAAGTCATACTTCATCCAGGCACCGATTCTTTTTTTACTTAAAGGTTTTTGTAATTTGTGAGAGGAAAAAAGACTGAAACTATTATCAACCATTATATGTTATTTGTTGACCACATGTTTGTTTGAAATGGCCATCGCTTGGTGGAATGCAGGCTATATACGTTCTCTTCCATAAATTAGCACTAAAAAACTGCCTAAATCAGGTAGGGTTTTGTTGAGCTTGTTGTATTATAATATGAACCAGACTATAACGGGGATGTTACTTTCGCTTTACATGTTAATTCAAGTCCTGAACCCCGATGGATGGAGCTCGCTATGAACAGAGCCCGCTGACTTAGAGGCATCCTGCTCGTGCACTGAGGCCCTTTGGGCCCTGCTGTGTAATTGCGTTCTTGATTTACATGGACATTCTAATTTTCTTTATAATGTAGTGATTTGCTCCTAAGCATTTTGGCAAGGGCCTACTATTATTTTCTTCTTGAGCCTGTGATAAAACCTGCGTCCTGGGGGAGCGTGCCGGCGAGAATGTAGGGGCAGGGGATTGGGAAACCTGTTTTAACTTATTTTAAGGGAAAATATTTTCTCACGAAGTAGAGGGGCAAACCCACCTGCCGCCTTTCTTCCCCCCCAGTAAAATAAATAGCAAAATAGTTACATGAAAGGATGCGTTTCTGGAGTTGGTATCTGTCTAGTACAGGAACACGGCGGCACGGTGCTTAATTAGAAACGGCGCGTTTCTAAGGTGCAGTAAGGGATGGGGGGTTTGGGATGGATGTTTAAAATCGCTGCTGAATGCCAAAGGTAAAATCATTACTCTCGTGCAATGGCTTTGAATCCTGGAGTAAGTAACATTGAGCAGAGTGATTTACCGGGGTCTGAAGGGGATGATTTCAGCAGTGTCGGGAAGCGCATCGGTGGCACGAGAGGGTGAAATGCTCCTTTAACCCACACAAACCTGAGGTGCGGCAGTCTTGGAGCATCTCTAGGAGCTTTTGAGATTTTTGGAGTGAAGCTTGCAGATCTGCTGCCAGTCCTGGCAGGTGGAGGAGTATTTTCCTCTTTGCTCTTTCTCTCCTTAGGCTTTCGGATTTATGACGCGTGTTGCTCTGCAAGCGGAGAAGATGAATCACCACCCGGAATGGTTTAATGTCTACAGCAAGGTAACGTGGCCACCGGCCCCAGTTACAGGCATGGCAAGTTAAGGAGACCAAACCACTGGCCCGTTCTCGCTGCCTTTTTTTGTAGCTTACGTACAAGATAAGGGAATGGAAAGAGGTTGTGTCTTTTGAAAGAGATTTGAGATTTTAAAGAGATGCTGAGATATTTGTAGTGGTGAGGAATCAGGAATCAAGCTCTTTGCAGTTGCTACCAGCCCCATGGTTTCGACCTGTCGCTTCACCTCTCTGGCTGAGATCTAAAAATAAAATAGAAGCCTTTAAACGCTTAGTTAGCCAACCTGAATAAAGAACTGTTTTGAAACTACTCACCAACTCTCATTCTTTTCTGTGCAACAAGGCGGGAGCCCAGCGGTGTAGGGCAGCAGACCGTCGATGTGTAGGTACCTAAATGGGAGCCTGGCAGTCTCAATTTAGGTTTGATTTTTTTTCAAAATTGTAGGCTCCTATGTCTCAACATAGCAGCTTATAAAATTTGTTTATAATATTACCTAACTGATGGTGGTCTCGTATTTACAAGGGTTACAAGGTATGCCGCAACCCTCAAATGAAGGGTGCTGTGTGAAGGGGGAAGCTCTTGCTCTCCCTTTATTTTTATTTTCTAATACTTCTCATTGCATTATATCGAGTTGTTTGTTTTAGCATTTGGTGAATACATGGCAATCCCGCTAAAAATACACTGAAAGGACATGTGGACAAGCAGCCTGGAACCACCACTGCCAGGGCAGGACATCCCCACCTCTCCCCCTAACAGAAGCGTCCCAGCACGGGCTCCGGCGGCCCTTTAGGTCACCCTCTTTAAGGGGACATTATATGATCACCAGACAAAGTCCTGATCACCTACTCTTCATGATTTTCTTGGCTTTCCAGAATAGTCAGAATTTATCTTTTCTTCTCTTCTCTCTTCCCAAAATCTCAGTCAAAGGCGAGACAAAGTAACGCCCAACTTGTCATCTGGCTTAGTCTAAACAAACCCGTGCAGGCAGCTGTGTCTTAGCAAAATGCACCAGTCCGTTTGTTTTTCTTTTTGAAATTAATCTGCAACAAGCTCAACAATTTTTTCACCTTCAGGGTGCTGGTTTTTAACAAAAAGCGTGAGCCCCTGACTCCGCTGTTGGCAGCTTGGTCACTGGCCCAGGTTCTTCGTGAAACCGATCCGTGGGATTTAAATGTAAAGAGTGAGTTATTTAATCGGACGCCTCTTCTTGGATGAAACCCAAGAATGCAACGCCTGTTTTATTCTGCGGAGGGGCTTGCTTTGGTTAGACTTCAGGCTCTGTTAAGCCTCCTCACCTACAGCGTCTTCTGGTTTGCGTGAGCAGTGAGCATCGTCTAAAACCGGCGCACTGCAGAGACGAGGCAGCGTTCCCGGTGAATTGCTGCTCGGCCTACGTGGCAGAGATCGAAATGGCTTTGTAACCCCTTTCTTTTCCTTTTTGACAGGTTCAGATAACCCTGATTTCCCACGACTGCGGTGGACTGACCAAGAGAGATGTGAAGCTGGCTCAGTTTATTGACAAAGCAGCTGCCTCGGTGTAACAAAGATGCAAAATGGTTTAATACAGTGTCTGCCAACATTTTGAATTTAAATGGTATCCCTCATTCCTCGTAACCCTGATTTCACAAAACCCCCGAGACAAGGCATTTTGTAGAAAGAGTGGCTTAGCTTGCTTTTGCCTTTTAGTCTGAGACCCCTCTGGATGCCTGTGCTTGTCCTTTGCCGTTGCTGGCTCTGCCTGAGGATGTAGCGGATAAACCAGCAACAAATAAGTTTTGAAGAGTCCTTTTCTAGAACCTAAAACACGCTGGAATGAAAGCAGGAGCCCACCCGCATGTGTCAGTTCCCCAAGCCCACGGGAGCCGAGGCTGGTGGGAGCTGCCATGCGAGCCTGCCCCGTGCCCGGCCGCTTCCCTCCTATAGATCCTATAGATGGGGACACTCGGCAGCAGGATTGCAGAGCTTGACATCTCTGCACGTCAAACAGCGTAAGAGCAGCCGGGCCGGATCAGTCCCCTCTGGCTTGGCCCCTCCATCTCTGCCGGTGGCCGCTGGCAAGCGCAAGGCACGCTGCCGAGAGCAGCGCGAGCGGCTGATGATCTTTCCTTGAAGTTGCAGCTCAACCAGCGGTTACAGCTTTGCGTTTTGGTGTTTATTCTGTGCCTGTCCGATGGCTCTTCAAACCATTCTGCCCTTTTGGCACCCGCAACCTAGCAGCTATAGCCAGAAAAAGTCTTGCTGCGTGCTTGAGAACTGTTCCCTATCCGAGATGCAGGGCTGGATCCTGCAGTTGCTGAAAACTTTAGCTCTGGTCCAGCAAATACAAAAGAATCCCAGTGAGCTCCAGTACTCACATCATCAAACAAAGCATGTGCTTAATTGCTTGGCTGGGCCGGCTCAGTGCTCAGCACCTTGCAGGATGGAGCCATTATTTGTGTTGTAACGCTCCCGTACCTGCCGGGTTTGGGGGGGAGTTGCTTGGCTGGGCACCCGGAGCACCGGCCAGAGCTGCCGGCGGTGAAGGAAGCGGCATTAGCAGGATTCTTGCTAAGCTGGGCTCAGCTGAAGCTATGCTCACCCTTTTATTTTTTTTTTTTTTTGTATCTACAATTACTCATCGCAAACGTCATTCCAAGAGCTGCAGATCCCACTGATGAGCTTTAAAATAATTTCTTCTGTGGTTTCAAAGTCTTTGTTTTTATCCTATGATCCTCACCGAGACAGATTTCCACTGCCGGCAGGGAGATTTCAACCTGCTTAAGGCTTGCAGAAGGGCCTCGAGCTCTGCAATCCTGCTACCGAGTGTCCCCAACGTGCACCGTCATGCCCTGCAAGCAGCTCCGGGTGCGGAGCTCCCGGGAGATTGACACCTCCGAAATGCCTGAGTGCATTGCTCGAATGGCACCGCCGGCACAGCTACCAGCTCCCGAGAAGCGAGATACGTACTGAGCGCCAAAATCTGTATCGGGTGTGGATACGAGGTGTGTGGTCTCTCAAATATCTGGGATGCAAAATGCCACTAGCTGCCACGCGAGTATTCGCGTCGATAAAATAAGAAAGGTATTTTTTGTTAATCTTTAGCAAGTGCGCTCTCACGTGCTAATTGGTTGCAGGAAGCAAGATGTAAGATGTTGGGGTTTTACTGTCAGTAACCCTACTTGGGATATCAAGTTAATACCTAAAAAGACCCAAATTCAGACTATGTGCTCCAATGTTCTTTGCTTACGAGCGCCTTTCCCCAGTGAAGTGGCGGATTTCCCTGATAGGGTTTGAAAATGGGCACTGTTGTGAGGAATGAATAAAAACTAAAACAAACAACCGGGCTGTGACGTCTCCTGTTACTGGTGGGGAAGTGAAACGAGCTTTGCCCCAAGTTTGGACAACGTCTCTAATGAACTGTGAAAACTCTGGTGTTAGAAATTGATCTGTAATGCATGCGCTTTGAATAAAACCGATGAAATCAAATTCCTCCTTTGTAATTTGTTTCTTTATTATTGTACATATGTGACAAAGCTGTTTAGTTTTAAGATAAATTTAAGATAAATAATATTTAGTTACTGGCAGGTCTTTGGTTTAGAATATTGCTATTTATTTACATACGCTGAGAAAAAAAAAATCCCCACCAACTAATTCAGCTGCACCGTCCAGCTGTGGCATAGAGCTGTGCAGCTGTGGTGGTTTGAGGATCCCTGACCTGTGAAGAGGCAAAAAAGACTCTGAAAAGAGGAGGACGGCGCTGAAACACTCGTCGTTTCTAGGCCGGCGCTTGTTTAGCCACAGTTTGTTAACTTCTGGGGCATCCCACAGATGAGAGAAGCAGTGGTACTCTCCTGGGCTTTGCTTCACCTTGCAGGCACCCCGCAAGAAATAATTTCTTCCATTATAAAAGCATCTTTTATTTGGGTTTGTTTTGGGTGGTGGGGTTTTTTTTTCTTTTTCTTTTGGACAGAATTCCCAGTATTTCTGAAACACATCCCAAATCTGCAATGAACCCCCATTGAACTCCACCTCCTGCCCCATCTCAGCAGCGTCCCCAACTCGCTGCTCTCCGCAGAGCCGGGCAGGGGAGCCCCGTGATGCTGAGGAGCCCTGACCCCCCCTTTCATACAGCTCCCAAAATCCACAGCCACCAGCTTGCGCCTGCTCCGTGCCCCTGCATCTCCCCAGCTCTTCTCCACCTGCAGACGTGCCGTTGGCGCGGCGAGTGCAGGATGCTGAGGGGCACGGGGAGGGGATGCACAGGGTCCCTGACCGAGCTGGAACTTCACGGGAAATTTATCCAGCAAGGATTTAATGACAGGCGCTGGACTGGGGCCAAGAAACTCAGCCTAAGGCGCCTTCTCTTGCGAAGAGCATCGTCAGCTCCGCTCCGAACAAAAGCAGCCAGAGCGCAGGGTTTGGGTCTTTTCCAGGGTTTGGGTCTTTTCCAGGCGATGGCATCGCTGGAGCTGTGCTGCTCCGGGATGTTACGGATTGAGCAGCTGCCCAACATACGGCCGACTTCTCCTCGGGGTCGGTTTGGTGCCTCTGCAAGGTCACGCCCCAATGCGGGACGGTGCCGCTCCGGCAGACTAATCGCGTTTCCCGCTTTGCTGCGAGGTTCGGCTCATGGCTAGGAGCCACCAGGTTAAATATTGCCCTGGAGTGTTTGGGGATTTTTTTGCTTTAGGGCTGATGGTGGCTTGAAGTATTTGGATAATCCATCGCAGAACAGCCTTCTCCTTGCAGGTAACTTCCCTGCATCAAGACTGATTTAATTTGGCGCGTCCCATCGACCAACCCAGCCCACGGTATGTGGGAAACGCCGTTCCCTGGGAGCCCCTCCGATGGTGCTCTGCGGCCACAGGAAATTAAAAAGCAAAAACTCGAGGCTGAGAGAGCAGAGGAGGAACGATGCCTGCAGCATGCTGCGTGGTTGGGGTTGCTGCTGGGGTCCTGCGAGGCTGGAGATCACACCTTCACAGGACCGTCTCTGAAACAGAGCCAGCAAATAATCCTTTCCTTTTCCCAAAATGGGAGCTCAGGTCCAGTAAACCGCAAAAATCGTATCGGAAGGGGTGGCATCGGCATCGGACGTGCTCCAGGGCTCTGGGGATGGGGTCCCACAGGCAGCTCTGCAGGAATGGGTTGGAAAACAAACTCCTCTGTCTTGGTTTGTGAGTTACGGCTCCGTCCGACCGCGCCGGGATTCCTCCTGCCCTTCCTCCTCCTCCCAGCCAGGGCACGGTGGTGGAGTGGCTGAAGAAGAGCAGAGCCTAAAAGGCTAAAGAGGACGTGTCCTCACCCAGCTGCTTCTCGAGGCTGGAAGGACAGACTGACATGGTTATTTTTCAGACTCTTCTGCATTGTCCGTGACATGTCCCTGGCTCCGGGATGGGGCCGGAGGGATCGCAGCATCCCCTGGGACGTGTCCGGGCTGCTGTGCCGGTGGCCGCTGGCTCTGCATCGGCCTCACCTGGAGCCCTGGGAGTCCAGCAAAGCGAAACCGCAAAGCAGATCCCGTTGGACTGGAGTTTTCTGTTGGCTCGTGTCCCCCGGGTGGCTTGGCCCAGGGTCAGCCTTTGCAGCGTCCCCGGTTGTCAGTGACGAGCACGGTTTGTGGGTTTGCCCAGATCCCTGCTCCAGCACTGCCTTCCCGCTCAGCCTTGCAGCCTGCCAGGTCCTCGGCCCCGCGCTGCCTTTTCCTCGCCCGCCAGCGCTTTTCAATCATGCAAAACAATTTTGACAGCCTCGAGCTTTCTGCAGCTTCTGATAGGTGCCTGCATCTCCTCTGGCCTTTTCAGCCCCAGGTTAATGAAGGGCTTGCCAATTAACTGAAGCTAATGAGTTCTGCATGAGCTAGTTCCAGTTTTTCGCAATTGTTTGCTCCAAGAAACAAATATTTGTGGCTTACCCAAAGCTGCACCTCGGGATTAGCCAAACATGTGTGTGTCCTGGAACAAGTGCTCACGGAGCATCCAGACTGGGAAGTGCAGAGGTGCTGACTAATTGAAATAAATTGGCAATCACTAATACTTTCTCCTAGAGAACCGAGGCAAAAAGCGAACACGGATGTGAGTTACCCCACTGACATCAAAGGCCGTGTTTTCGTAAGCGCTGCTCGCGCTGAAGGTCTGTTGCAGGGCTGGACCCTTTGGTGAGGAACCGACAACGCGTTTGAACACGAACTTTGGAAAGAGTCCAGGCACGGCTGCTAGCGGTCCTCTGGTTAGAGCCAGGCCAGCCCGCGTGGGCTGCGGGGATGCTGGAGCCCCGGGAAGGGTCCCCAGAAGGAGCAGAGGTCTGCGCTCGGGCTCCTGCACCATTTCCAGACCGGTGGTGGGTGCACGGAGGAGGATTACCCCCCCAAAGCTCAAAAGCACACCTCGTTGCAGGAGCGCTCATCATTTTGTTGCTGTTAGACGCGGGTGGCGGGGTGAGGCGGTGGCACGAGGCTGCTCCGCGGGGCTGGCAGCGTTTCCCCGCCTGCTCCTCCCGCCTCGGCACGGGGACGAGCCGTTCCCCCGGGATGCTGGGAGAGATGGGGCCAGCGCCCGCACAG